GAGGGTGGGGGTAGATGGCTTTAGGATGGAGGTTGGTCACCAGAAAGACTAAGCCATGGTTAGAAGGTTGGAGCTTTTAGCCCCACCCCCGGACCTCCAGGGAGGAGGCAGGGGCTGGAGTTGGAGTTTAGTTACAAACGGCCAGTGATTTCATCAGTCATGCCCAAGTAATGCAGCCCCCGTAAGAACCCCTAATGATGGGGTTTGGAAAGCTCCCAAGTTGGTGAGCACGTCAAGGTGCTGGGAGGGTGGGGTGCCCAGAGAGGGCATGGAAGCTCTGGAACCTCCCCCATACCCTGCCCTGTGCATCTCTTCCACTTGCCTGTTCCTGAGTTGTCTCTTTTCTAATGAACTGGTAATCGTAAATTCTGAGTCCTGTGAACTTTTCTGGCAAAATATTGAACCTGAGGAGGGGGTCGTGGGAACCCTGGATTAATAGCTGGTTGGTCAGAAATATGGGAGACCTGGGACTTGCAATTGGCATCTGAAGTGGGGGCAGTCTTGTGGGACTAAACCCTTAACCCATGGGGTCTGGGCCAACTTTTGGGCAGTTAGTGTTGACTTAAATTGCTGGACAGCAGAAAATTGCAGAATTGGTGTTGGAAAAGACACCATGTATTTGGTATCAGAAAGAATCTGAGAAACTTTCTAGACTAAAAGGAATTTTAAAACGTGTTATTGGGGTTATCACACTGCTTATAAAAATAAAGCAAAAAAGGAAAACGAAGAAAATAAAAATTTATTATAAAAAAACAAATAATATTGTTTAAACTTCAGGAGCCTTCTAAATATATTACTATTAACATGTACACGTAGCTATATATACAGATTTTTTTACATAAATGACGTCATCCTACATGTAGTTTGTATAGAGATGTGCTTTTTGCACTCAGCAACATCTGAACATTATTCAGTGTTAATAAATATAGATTCCCATCCCACTTCCTAATGCCCAAACAGTGATCATTGTATATACATCCCGTATGTATATAGCCAGTCTCTGGTAGATGACTTTCTGAGCTTACTGTAATCTGGTAGGGTCATTGATGCCAAATCAGAAAAAGTGCTAAAGATTTCTAAACAAGAATTTTGTTTATTTACATATTCATTCTCTCAGTTTATCCCAACATAGCTTAAAATTGCTTCTAACAATTATATGTATGACACAATATAATGAACTTATGAATAGCAATTAGAAATTCAGGAGCAAAGAGATTGAGATTCAGGAGGTGAAAGGGCTCGAGCGGTGTAAGAGAGCAGGGCCTGAGGACTGGTGCCCGAAGGCTCTGTAGCTGTCGTTCTGATGAGGATTGCTGATCTGACTGTGCTCTTCAGGATAGGTCCGGTTATAGCCCGTTGCAACAGCAGACCCCTCAGGCTCCTGCTGACTTTCCATCTTGTGCTCAGATGTCTTCTTGCCCTTCTGTGGTTAGTTGGCATTCAAGAGCCCACCTTGGCCTCCTTCCTCAGCTGTTGCTCTCCTGTGTCTCTCTCCCCACCCCTCTCTCTCTCTCTCTCTATATATATATACAGTCATGCATGTGTTCTGCGAAACGTGTTATTAGGCGATTTTGTCATTGTGGGAACACCATAGAGTGCACTTACACAAACCTAGATGGTATAGCCTACTATACATCTAGGCTATGTGGTACTAATCTTAGGGGACCACTGTTGTATATGCAGTCTACTGTTGACCAAAACATCGTTATGTGGCACACCACTGTATAAAGATGGAATATATAGACATATATACTCTCTCTCTAATTCCTCTCTCTAAATATATGTATATAGCCATATGTGTGTGTATGCGTATAGCCATATGTATACATGCATATAACCGTATATATGACTATAACATATATATAGAAAAAAGATGGAATATATATATATATTCTCTTTGTGTATATCTATGACTTCTATCTAAATATATGTATATAGCCATGTGTATGTGTGTGTGTATAGTCATATGAATATATGTGTATAACTACAGAGAGAGAGAGAGAGAAAAGGGAGACTCTCCTGTACAGGTCATGATATTTAAGTTTCATACATTGAATTTTTTACTTGGCAAAGACCTATATGGACTCGAGTGATGGTCTTAAATAAGCAGACACCTCATCTGTGCTGTTCTGTGTGTTCCACAATAACCCCCCCCACCCCTTATTTTATGTCTTTCTCTGGGTGCTGCTTGTGGTGGGAAACCACCGAGTCTTACTTTAGTGTTTACAAGATGTCTGCAAATTCATTTAATTCTCGGGATTATTCCAGAGCTGAACTCATTATCTATAGCTCTTTCCCTTTTCCCCTTGCCTTTCTCTCTTCCTTTCCTTTCTTCCTCCACCTCAAAAACTCCATGGCTTTATCCCTTCACTTGACGTAAATGTCATAGGATCCTGGATTTTGCCAGGCTGCAGAGAGCCCGCTCACCAGCAGGGGGAGCTGTTTTTGTGTTTAGGGAAGACATTGGAATTTTGCGTGTCTAGTAGAATGTAATGGAAATTTTAATTTCATGCATTATTAATTTAAATTCATTTTTTCAATAACTTAAAACGTATTATTATTTTCCTCTAATAACTGAATTAATAATTACATTTAAACTTAATTATTTAGGTTTTTTTTTTTTTTTTTTTTTTTTTTTTACTGCAAATAATGCTTTACACCAAAATGCTGCCAATGATCAGATTAGGATGGGTGACATCATTATATCAAGTGATTAATATTTTAGGAGGTAATCAGACCTGGCATATGGGGGGGCTTCAGACAATTCGTATGAATCCGGACAATTTGTTATTCTAAACTGGGTCCTGCAGTTGTCTAATAGTGTGAGAGCAGATTAAATCTGTTTTGTTAAGGTAGGAAACCTAACTGAACTTTTCAGACTTACCTGCTTTCTATCATAGTCATGAGGCAGAATTTCCACAGATATGTGGCTTTGAGGTATGAAATTCATCATCACTTGTAAAAAGAAATTGAACGGAAGGTGCTTGCAGACCTCAGGGTTCAGCCCTCCGCTGAACTGATGGGCTCACATGCCTGTGGCCGCAGCGCCCTCGTGTGGTCAAATGCGTCCAGCCGTTTTGGCCGCCTCCAGGCCTCCGCATCACCCGCCTTCCTGGGACAGGAGCCACATGACTGACTGGTCATACCCTATGGGAGGTCGCATTCCGCCGGGAGGTGAGCCACCCGCGATGGTCGTCTTGCAGTTTTGCTGTTCGAACAGTGCTGATTATAAGTCCTGGCTCGGAAATAGAGATTCGATTGGTTTCATGGTGTGTCCTTGCCTCTTACAAGGGTTACATAATTCATCCGTCAACTGGTTGTTTGGAACCAGAAACAACCAGAAAGTTTCCACCCAGAAAAGTTTCATAAATGATGGGTGGGAACCCAGGGCATCCACAAAGACCTCTTTAGCTCAGTCTGGTAGCTGTGTCATATCCTGTGGGAGATATCTGAGTTGGGAAGATCCAGTTAGGTACTGGAGTACCCGTCGTGTGTTTGCTAAATCACCCCCATAGACCCTGGGGGGTCAGTGTACCCCGGATAGAGGACCAGGGCATGACTGGAGCCTGGTCACCAACGGCGGGAGGGGAAACGTTGTGTTAGTCCCTCCTGCTTGCTCTGCCTTGCACCCTGTAGAAACACACGTGGTCCTCTCTCATGCCCCCAAGGAGGTGTGAAGCAACCAGGTGAGAGGAATAGATGCCTCATTTCCTCACTGGGAGACTGATTTCTCGCCAGATCCCTTAGACCCGTGGTCTTCAACAACCGCACTTGGGTTGAGGGCAGGAAACAGTTTTTCAAGGGACACTTTTTTGCATCTGATTATAGATACTGTTTTTGCTTTATGGAACCTGCAGTGAGGCCCCATCCCCAACGCCTCCCTCCTCTCCCCCTGAGGCCTGGGCAAAGGATTGTCCCGTGAAATTCAAACTTCATAGATGGCTTCCCTATCAGCAAGAGAGGCCTGTAACGTACCGTCCTCATATATATGTGTGTGTATATATATGAATATGTATATGTATGTATACAGCCGGCCCTCCTTATCCGCGAGTTTCTTATCCCGCGGATACGGAGGGCCGACTGTATTCACTGTATTAGGCCATTTTATGTAAGGGACTTGAGCATTCGCGGATTTTGGTATCCGCGGGGCTTCTTGGAACCAATCCCCCGTGGATACAGAGGGACATCTATATATGTATCTGTAATGTAATTTATTTAACCTCCATATATGTGTATATATGTGTATGTATATGTGTGTGTGTAGATAGATAGATACAGATGTAGTTAAAAGCTGGGTGGTTAAAAGTCCTGCCTTCAGAATCCAAAAAGTCTTCAAACCTAGCTGCTGTGACCCTGAGCAAATTTTGCCATCTCTCTAGGCCTCCGTCTCTTTGTGTAAGATGGAGATCATGATGGTACCCTCCTCTAAGTTGTGAGGGTTGATTAAAGCTCTGAGGCAGACGTTGGCAGTGCCGCTGTTCAAGGGTGGGAGGGCAGAGCGGGGCCAGCGGCTGTGGAATGCCGGGACCCCGAGGCAGGCTGCGTCTATGTGGAGGCAAAGTGTTGAATGTGTGAATCTTATAACTGACTTCCCTTGGGTGATGTCCAGCTCATCAAAGAACCATCAGATTTTAACCTGGCTTCTGTTATGGCTTAGCTGTAAGGAAAAAGTGGGCTCGTCTTGCAAGCTATGCGTTTCTCATTATATGTCAATAAATTGGCCTTCTAGTTAATTTATGATTCTCATGGCAAACCGTGCCCCAGAGAAGGTCTGTTCTTGCTGTGCCAACAGAGTCAGGTTTCTGAGGCTGTGAGTCAAGAAGTGGATCCTGGACTCACCAACATGCTGCCTCCCTTTGAGTCCTTTTGGGAGGTTGTGCTTGGCATCTTCTTGCACTGCTCTTTTCTGCTACCTGCAGAGTTAGTACCAGCCAAAGAGTAAACTGCTTTAAAGACTAGTGAAGCCTTAATTCAAAAGATAACTTTTCCTTTTCTCCTAGGATACCTGGGATGAACTCCTAATTGGCAACGTAGAAATGAAAAAGGTTTTGGCTTGCCCCAGGTAAGGATTCTCTCGAGACGCGACCTTGGGGGTGTGGCTGGCTCATTGGTCTTAACTGTCACCTAACCCTTGGTTATTGCATGACAGGTGCATTTTGACCACTGTAGACCCAGATACTGGAGTGATAGACAGGAAGGAGCCACTGGAGACCCTGAGGAGGTAGAACGTCAATGTATCCAATGTATTTTTAATATTATCCCCATCCGAGAACTACCTGTGGGTGTGGGTGCTCTGAGCACCTTCCACTCGGCCTTCTGGTTGGTTTGTGTCTGTTGGTTAATGTGAGTACTTGTTGCTTCCTCTTTTTGTCTGGATGGATCTTCTATTGCTTTTGACCAAATTTTCATTGTATAAGACTATGTTTTGAAATTTTCATCTCTCTCACATCAATTTTTAATAACATTTACATGTGTATTTCCAAATGAAGACCTCAAATACTTTAATTTTATTGCAACTCAAATTTCTTTGTTAGAGTCAATATCAAGGAATATGAGAATAATTGAAGTTGTATAATGAACCATTAGAAAAATTGGAAGGTAATCAGTGGTCAGAGTTTATTTATCCAGGAGCTGCTTTTATACCATGTGTTTATTTAAAGAATTTTGGCTGACTTGAGTTCTGAATATAGAATGTGGTTTTAAATCTAAGTTAACATTTTTTGGGAGATGTATCCTGTTTTATTTCCCTTTCCTCTGTTTTTTTTTTTTTGTTGTTTCTAATGGGTTTAAGTTAGAGAAGAGGTTATTGCTTGAAGTCTTCAGGTTTACAATTCTGGGATTTTTTTTTTGATTTTTAAGATGCAGTGAAGTTAATTTTTTTTTTAGACAGGGCTTTTGCAAAAAATTAACTTCAGCAGTAGTCCAGCCCTCCTGTCAACTGCATCTCTATCTTCAGCTTTGTTCACCAAAGAACCCCAGTTTGGGGCTTCTAAACTTGGAGGGGTAGAAAGCATTGTGGTTCCATGCATTAAACGGAAGGTTAGGGGAGTTCAGGGCATTTCCATTTTGAGACTGTACGAGCATTTGTTTCAATGGGTTATGAAGTTGGAGGTACACATGTAAACAAAGTATTTATTTTAAGTAACACAAGTTTTTTTCCTTTTGGCCTCAAACTGAAGCCATGGAAAAATTGTTTAGACTCTCAGGATACTTCTAGAAAAACTAGGATTATTTGAAGGTTGACTAACTGCTCGCAGGTCTCTGTCAACATTGTAGAAAAGGCTTGCTATGTATTTATAGATAACCTGAGAATGAAGACTTGAATTCTAATGAGAGCACTTAGATTATTTCTTTTTTGTGCCTGATGCTTTTTTCAGCTACCGCCTCTGTGATCCTTCCGAGAAGCAAATATACAAGACATCCCCACTTTTTGGGATCTATTATTCAGTGGAGAAAATTGGAAGCCTAAAAGTTGGTGACCCTGTGTATCGGATGGTACAGTGACGGATCCACTATGGTGACACGATAAAGGGTCAGCTTCGCTTCTAGAATGCGGTGCCTGGGAGACACTGCCACGTTTTCTTGTGTTGAGATATTTTTACATTTTGTTGCCTTAACTCTTGGGTTAGTGAGCAGTTTGTGTTCTGATCTTCAGAGTTGGAAAATGCCCTTTATTTTTCTTCCCCTCAGTAATCTGTATTCTTCCGGACTTCTCCATCCCACTTTCCCATCCAATTATAAAATGCTGATGCAAGATCCTCAGCAGAAAGGCAGGTTTATGTCCCCAGTTCATTAGGGAATACCATTCAGGAATAAAGAAATGAAGGCGAGCCATTCTTGAGAGTTCTATATTTATTTTTTCTGTCTCTGATGGAAAAGTGAAGGGGAAATGTTTAAATTATTCAAAATCAACTTGGGGAAAACCATTAAATCAAATGCTTTTATCAAGTGTATTTTTTAAATATGATTTAAAGTTTGAAAAAAAAATCAAGACATCAAGGTGCCTGGATTCTGAATCACGAGGTAGAAAATAATGCTCTCACCTTGATTTCACCAGGCCACATAAAACTCTGCCTCCTGGAGCATAATACCGAACCCCCAAATTATAGGAATGAGAAAGTCAGTCAGAAGACCTCAGATTGAGGTTTTTAAGTAACTTTTCTCATAAAATCCATAACCCAGTTCTTACAGTCACCTCACCTCCAAGACTTTTGACCATCCTTCTGTCTACTTCTGGCCTGACCTCCTCACCTTCTCGCCTGACCATCCTCAGGACAACATAGGATAGGGGTTCAGAGGGTCCAGATCTAGCGTTAGATAGACTTGGGCTTGTCATCCTAGCAGCTCCATTTCCTAACTTGGTTGAGTTATTTCAGCCCTCCCAGCCTCAGTATCCTCTCTGCAAAGTGGGAATAATAATATTATTCACCAAAACAACCAATAAAAGTTATTTTGAGGATTAATTAATATAAAGTTGCAGCATTGCAACAGAAACATGGAAAGTGCTCAGTAAATAACAGCTATGACTTTTATTGTTATCATTGCAACAACTACCCCATGTAGGGCCCAGTCTTAGATGCCATAGTGGATATGAAGATGAGACAGGCTTTGCCTTTGAGGTGGGTGAAGAGGAAAGAAACTTCTATTGGCTACCTGTTACAATCAGGCGTTTACATAACCATAACTGTATTTCATCAGTTCTAAAATGCCTATTTTTTCCCACATTTTAACGTCTCTGAAATCAGAAAGTTTCTTATAACATTCAGGATGCCTCTTTGAAAAATCTTAATCATGCATATAATAGTGGTGCATCTTTGGATTGATGTGTCTTGCATTTGGTGAAATGAATAAGCACGAGAGAAAACTTGGAAGTTCTTAAGTGCCTACCATTTCTTAAGGCCCCATCTGGGGAACGTGGACCCAAGCCTGAGCCGTCTGGCTTGAGTGAAACTGATCCTGTGTTCTTGCTGTTCAGGCCGCAGTTGATTGGATCTGGGTCAGTGCGTGAGCCAAGCTCTTTGATATGTCGTCTGATTGGAGGGAGCCCGGTGGCTGCTGAGCTGCCTTAACAAATAGGTATCCTCTGTATTGCTCAGTCTCAAATCCACTCAGTCAGATCCTGTTTTGCAATAGATTGAGGCAAGGAACACCTGTGGTTCACTCTGACTCAGCCAATTTTCAGTCATTTCAGCTCCCAGGAGTCTTTGTGCATTGAGGAGCCTGAGTGTTATCTTTTGTAATCCTTTTAGAGTCTCTGTGAGATAGATGTGATAATCAGCATCTGCAAGGACAAGAAAGAAAGGCTCAGATAGGTCAACTGACTGAGGGTCGAGGAGCTGATGAGAGGTAGAGCGAAGAGGCTCTTTGCACAGCCGTATGCCATACATTTTTGTGTGTAAAAAAATAACTACAACTCGTATCCGACATCCATATATGATGAAAAATCTCAACAAAATGGGTATAGAAGGAAAGTACCTCAACATAATAAAGGCCATATTTGACAAACCCACAGCCGACATCATACTCAGTGAGGAAAAACTGAAAGCCATTCCTCTGAGAACAGGAACAAGACAAGGGTGCCCAATCTCACCACTCTTATTCAACATAGTACTGGAGGTTTTGGCCAGAGCAGTTAGACAAGAAAAAGGAATAAAAGGAATCCAAATAGGCAACGAAGAAGTGAAACTTGTGCTGTTTGCAGATGACATGATTTTATATATAGAAAAGAGCCCATTGGAAAACTATTAGAAATAATCAACAACTAGAGCAAAATTGCAGGGTACCAAATCAACTTACAAATCAGTTGCATTTCTATCCTCTAATAGCGAACTAACATAAAGAGTACTTAAGAATACAATCCCATTTACAATCACAACAAAAAGAATAAAATATCTAAGAATAAATTTAACCAAAGAGGTGAAAGACCTATACAATGAAAACTATAAGACATTATTGAAAGAAATCGATGATGACATAAAGAAATGGAAAGATATCCCATGAACATGGATTAGAAGAATAAACATAGTTAAAATGTCCATACTACCTAAAGCAATCTACAGATTCAATGCAATCCCAGTCAGAATCCCAATGACATTCTTTATAGAAATAGAACAAAGAATCCTAAAATTCATATGGGGCAACAAAAGACTCCGAATAGCTAAAGAAATCCTGAGAAAAAAGAACAAAGCTGGAGGCATTACAATCCCTGACTTCAAAATATACTACAAAGCTATAGTAATCAAAACAGCATGGTACTGGCACAAAAACAGTCACACAGATCAATGGAACAGAGTTGAAAGCCCAGAAGTAAAACCACACATCTATGGACAGCTAATCTTTGACAAAGGAGCTCAGAACATACAATGGAGAAAGGAAAATCTCTTCAATAAATGGTGCTGAGAAAACTGGACAACCATATGCAAAAGAATGAAAGTAGACGATTCTCTTTCACCATACACAAAAATTAACTCACAATGGCTCAAAGACCTGAAGGTAAAACCTGAAACTATAGAACTCCTGGAAGAAAATATAGACAGTGCACTCTTTGACATTGGTCTTAGAGGGATCTTTTCGAATTCCATATCTACTTAGACGAGGGAAACAAAAGGAAAAAATAAACAAGTGGGACTTCATCAGACTAAAGAGCTTCTGCAAGGTAAAGGAAGCAAGGATCAAAATGAAAAGACAACTCACCAGTTGGGAGAAAATATTTGCAAATCATACATCCAACAAGAGGTTAATCTCCATAATATGTAAAGAAGTCACACAACTGAAAAACAAACAACTCAATCAAAAAAAGGGCAGAGGATGTGAAGAGATATTTTTTTCAAGGAAGATATACAGACGGCCAATAAGCACATGAAAAGATGTTCAGCATCACTAATCATCAGGGAAATGCAAATGAAAACCACACTAAGATATCACCTTACACTCGTTAGAATGGCTATAATCACCAAGACAAAAAATAACAAATGTTGGAGAGGTTGTGGAGAAACGGGAACCCTCATTCACTGCTGGTGGGAATGCAAACTGGTGCAATCTCTATGGAAAGCAGTATGGAGATTCCTCAAAAAATTAAAAATAGAAATACCCTATGATCCAGCTATCCACTATTGGGTATTTATCTAAAGAACCTGAAATCAACAAGCCAAAGAGGCTAATGCACCCCTATGTTTATTGCAGCATTACTCACTATAGCCAAGACATGGAAGCAACCCAAGTGTCCCTTGACTGATGATTGGATAAAGAAGATGTGGTATATATATACAATGGAATACTACTCAGCCATAAAAAAAAGACAAAATTGTCCCATTTGCAACAACATGGATGGAACTTGAGGGTATTATGTTAAGCGAAATAAAAGTCAGATGGAGAAAGGCAAACACTGCATGATTTCACTCATATGTGGAATATAAACTAACACGTGGACAGAGAGAACAGTTTGGTGGTTACCAGGGGGTAGGGGATTGGAGGGTGGGCACAAGGGTGAAGGGACACATTTATATGGTGACTGACAAACAATAATGAAATTTCAAAATGTTATAAACTATTATGACATCAATAAAAAAATAACTACAACTCAGGGAGAGATGCAGTGCTTCATGAGTTCAGAGGAGAAATAAATCCTTTCTGGGTAGGGTGGTGGAGGAAAGCTTGAGGGTAGCTATGGAACCTGGACTCGCTGAGGAAGGAAAGTCAGGAGAGCGCTCCAGGGATCTACTGTGATGGAAGCTCCTAGAAGGGCCAAGCTACTGTAGGGACCTGGGAGGACACTGGAGTGGAGAGGAGGGGAGAGGAGGGGTAAAGCCAGATACTGTAGGTTCTTGTGAGTTAGTTTGCAGGTGAAGGTAGCTGTGGAACTTGTTTAAGCCCAAATCATGATCAAAACTGTGCTTTTGGAAGAATGTGCTGAGAGCCAGGTGTGGGATGGACCAGAGTGGGGTGACAGTAGAGGGGAAAGGCTGGGGGCGGGGGACGGCATGTGATTTAAGGAGGTGGAAGTTGTGGGGGTGGAGAGGGAAGTGTGGCATGCCCAGGTCCTCAGTGTGGCATAGATGCTCTTTGCCATTTGGCGCCAAGCTTTCTTTCAGCATTATTATCTGCCACTCCCTGCACACCCACCCTGGGCACTTTTCCCGCTTCTCCGTTCTGAACATGCTTCTCTTCCCTGAGTGCCAGCCCTAAGAGTTCCACCTGTGGAACTTTGTATCAAGTCTCCCTGACCCCAGTCCCCCCAGAAGCACCGAGGGGTTTCCTGTCTGGTGATGCATTTCTGTTGGGCTTTAAAAATAACAGCAATGTTACTCATTTACTTTAAGTGAGCCTACTACTGTTTCTGCATTCTGGGGGATCTCCTTTATATGACAGGTGGATTAAAACCTTTACAAAAAATAGCAGTTAATTCTTTTTTTTTCTTTGTGAGGAGATCAGCCCTGTGTTAACATCTGCCAATCCTCCTCTTTTTTTTGCTGAGGAAGACTGGCCCTGGGCTAACATCCATGCTCATCTTCCTCCACTTGATATGGGACGCCGCCACAGCATGGCTTGCCCAGCAGTGCGTGGGTGCGCACCCAGGATCGCGCCCGGGATCCAAACCGGCGAACCCCAGGCCGCCGCAGCAGAGCACACGCACTTAACCGCTTGTGCCACCAGGCCGGCCCCAGCAGTTAATTCTTGCATCAGGGTTCCTTGAGTTGTTTATTTATCCATTTAAAATTTAATTATATAAAAGTTCATCTGTTCCATTATAAATGCAATATATGTTCATCATGGCAAATTTAGAAAATACCAGAAAAGTAGAAGAGAAAAATCACTCATTGTCACTGTTTATAAATTTTATTCTGGTTGTTTTCTGTTTGTTTAATGTACTGATCCGTATGATATAAAATATGTATGATATATTA